AGATCCCAAGTCCTGGGATTAAAGGTGTGTGCCACCACTGTCTGGCCTCTATGACTAACTAGTGGCTGGCTTTGCCCTTTGATCTTCAGGCAAGCTTTATTTGTTAGATCATACACAAAATATCACCACACCACTACACCTGGCTCTGAGCTTTTCTTTAATTCACAAATTGGAAATTCAGCTGAGTGGGATCCTGCCCTGAGTCATCACTCCCTTTATTTCACTTCTTAATCTGTTTATCTCCTTGAACATAGGATTTCGTTTATGGATAAGGGCAAAACCCTGCCATTTCTTCATTAAAATATCACAAGACCAGTCTCTAGGCCATATACTAACATTCTTCTCCTCTGAAACCTCTTGATCCCCAAGTTCATCAAATTCAGCACCACTGTCTTCCATGCTCCTGCTAGTACGGCCCACTAAGCAACACTTAAAGCATTTCCCTACTTTCCTAACCCAAAGTACCAAAGTTGATATTACTCCAAACAAAAACATTATGGTCAGGCCTATCATAGCAATACTCCAATCCCTGGTACCAATTTCTGTTTTAGTTAGGTTTTTCTTTTGAATGGCAGAGGCAGGTTTAATGGTGTCACTTTGTCTTGTTAATGAGCCAGCCCCACTAGTTACGGTTTTTATTGCTGTGAAGAGACACCATGACTCCCATAAATGAAAATTCTCATAAATGAAAACACTTAATTGGGGGTGGCTCACAGTTTCAGAGTTTCAGTCCATTATCATCATGATGTCAGGAGCATGGCAGCATGCAGGCTGACATGGTACTGAAGTAGTTGCTGAGAGTCATACATCTTGCAGGCAACAGGTAGTCGGCTGACACACTGGATGGTATCCTGAGCATAGGAAATCTCAAAGCCTATCCCCACAGTGACACACTTCCTCCAAAAATACCATACCCAGTACTAGAAAGCCACACCTCCTACTAGTGCCACTCCCTATGACACCACGGGGCAGTTACATCAACCACCACAGGGACTTCTCTGCATTATGGCATGACTAAGTGTAATGTGATTTGAATAGGAATGGTCCCCATAGGCTCATAGATTTGAATGCTGGTCCCCAGGGAGTGGCACTGTTAGATGGGGCCTTATGGAAGGAAATGTGTCACTGGGGATGGGTTTTGAGGTTTCAAATGCTCAAGCCAGGCCCAGTGTCCTCTCTCTTCCTATGGATCCAGATGTAGAACTCTCAGCTACCTCTCCAGCACCATGTCTGCCTGCACACTGCCATGCTTCACAGCTGTGGTAGTTTAAATGTAATTGGTCCCCATAAGCTCGTAGGAAGTGGCACTATTAGGAATTGTGGCTTTTTTGGAGTAGGTATGGCCTTGTTAGAGGAAGTGTGTCACTTTGGAGGCAGGCTTTGAGGTCTCATCTATGTTCAAACCATGCCCAGTGTCTCAGACCACTCCCTGTTGCCTGCAAGTCAAGATGTAGGACTCTCAGCTCCTTTTCCAGCACCATGTCTGCCTGTACACCACCATGTCACACCAAGATGAAAATGGACTAAACTTAAAAATATAAGCCACCCCAACTAAATGTTTTTCCTTTATAAAAGTTACTGTGGTAATGGTGTCTCTTCACAGCAATAGAAATCCTAAGACACCAGCCATGATGATACTGAATTAAATCTCTAAACTATAAGCCAGACCTAATTAAATGTTTTCCTTTTTAAGAGTTGCCATGGTCATGGTGTCTCCTCACAGCAATATTGACTAAGACAGCTGCCAAATGTCAAGTGATGCCGGAAGGAACCAGATGCCAGGATGTGGCCACAGATGGATTATTTTTGTAAATCTCCATCAGGTAACAACCTTACAGGTAGATCTCTGTGTTCAAGGCCAGCATGGTATACATCGCAAGTTCCAGGGCAGACAGGATGCATAGAGAGACCCTCTGTCTCAAAGAAAAATTGTATTGTAGGGTTAGAAAGATGGCTCAGGGGTTGTGTGCACTTGTTGCTCTTGCAGAGGACCTGGCTCGATTCTTATATCCACATCAGACATCTCAACTCCCCGTAGCTCCAGTTCCAGGGGATGTGACGTCTTCTTCTAGGTATTGCATGCACATGGTGTGTGTATATATATACAGACAAGCAGGAAATCACACATACACATGAATAAATAAAAACACAATTTTAATTGTATTGTTTGACAGGCAAATATAGCTCAGTGATTAGTGGCAGATGTTGTCAAACTTGAGGACCTAAGTTCAATCCCCAGAACCATCATAGCAGGAGAGGACTGAGTCTGGAAAATTGTCCACTGGCTTCCACACACATCCCTGTGTTTAGCACCCAAAAGATCCTGTGCTCAATCTCCAGTGTAGCAATGGTTTGCTTTTATATTATTGAGTTGTATGAGTTCTTTAATAAAAGTCAATTATATATAGGGCAAACACTTTAACATCTCTCCAGCCAAGGATACTTGATAATAGTAGACCTATATAAGGGAGAAGACAATTTAAACAAACATTTAAATCAGTTGTTATTGGCATAAACTGACCCCTTTTCTAAAACTATAATGGGGCTGATAAATGGCTCATCAGGTAAAGACACTTGCTGCCAAGTCTGATAACTTGAATTCATTCCCTCGGGCATACAGTGGTGGAAGGAGAGAACTGACCTTTACAAACTGTCCTCTGATCTGCCCAAGCACACCTACACACACACACACACACACACACACACAGCTCACAAAACAAATGTAATAAAAAAATATACAAACCAAATAATGAGGGATACAGTTACTAGTTTTCCAAATATCCTTTGTTATGATAAGATTTTCCTAAAAGCCAAAATCTTGGCATAGAAAAATGTCACTCCAGATTTCCTTGTGGAAACTGGAATTGTGACAGCTTGGTATGTTTTATGCTAATTAGAGGTTAAAGCTGAGATACTGACTCCACTGAAGGTTTTCCATTCAGGCAGCAATTGCACAAAGGACCCCAACAGAAAGGAAGGCAGTATTCTAACATGGCCATGGCTGTCCTGGAACTCACCTTGTGGACCAGGCTGGCATCAAACTCAGGGATATCCACCTGCCTTTGCTTCCTGAGTGGTGGGATTAAAGGTGTGCACCACCACACCTGGCCTTTAAGAGAGGAATTTTCCTTAGTGGTGTAGATAATGATAAAGTGCCCAATCTCCTTAAGCAACTTGAATGAAACTCAGGGATCAGAAAAATGGCTCAGCAGATAAAGAGATACTTGCCACCAAGCCTGATTACCCGAGTTTGATCCCTAGGACCCACACCATGGAAGGAGAGAACTGACTCCTGAAACTTATCCTGACTGTACACACACACACACACACACACACACACACACACACACACACACACACACGTCATTAAAAAATCTTTAAAATTAAACAAAAAGGAACTCATCGGCTCACCAAAGAAGGGGAGTAGAGGAAATGGGAGGGGGACAAAAGAGGGTAACAAGAATATGATCAAAAATGAACGTGAAGCCAGGCCATGGTGGCACACGCCTTTAATCCCAGCACTCTCAGGAGGCAAAGGAAGATGGATCTTCCTGAGTTTGAGGCCTGCCTGGTCTACAATGTAAGTTCCAGGACAGCCAGGGCTGTTAAACAGAGAAACCCTGTCTCAAAAAACAAGAAACAAAACAAAAATCGACAGGCATGTATGGAGATGTTATACTTAAATTCGGTATTATATATATATGCTAATAAAAACAAAATATCTAAGTCATTAATGCTTACAATCTTTTTTTGTTCTGTTTTGTTTTGTTTTTCAAGACAGGGTTTCTCCATGTAGTTTTGGTTGCTCTGTAGACCAGGCTGGCCTCGAACTCACAGAGATCCGCCTGGCTCTGCCTCCCGAGTGCTGGGAATAAAGGCGTGGACCACCGCCACCTGGCTAATGCTTACAATCTTATAACCAGTAACTGCTCAAATGAACAAAAAGTGGTTTGTTTCTTGGCTAGCACAAACAAGTTAATTTTCTGTTGTATTTGTTTGACTAGCTTAGAATCTAACATTCTACAAGAAGCCACCAACAAAAATTGGAGCACACACAGTAAAATATTTTTGTGTGTACCGTTATAACAGAAGCAATAATTGTATAACAGGAAATGTTCATAAACATTACAGTTACCAAAGCTTGTTATTTTCCCAGTAGCTCTACCCTGCTACTACCTAGATTACTATCATTCTTGTATTCACAAATGGCAGGCAAAGTGAGACTACGGTTCTGTAGATACTGGAAAGATAATAAACCAAGAAGCCTAACTATCCCCCACCCCAGATACAACCCAGCTAAGAAGGTAAGAGAAGTCATTGCAAGGGTTCCAGAGGATTGCTGGAGGGTAGGTAGAAGCTAAGGGTCAATTACCGAGGTTGTTAATTTACCCTGCCTGAGAGTCTCTGTCTCTCTCTGTCTCTCTGTCTCTGGTGTGTGTGTGTGTGTGTGTGTGTGTGTTCTGTCTGTCTGTCTCTGTCTGTGTGTCTGATCCCCCACTCCAGATCCTCCTGCCTCAGCCTCTAGAATGCTGGGATAACAGACGTGAGTCACCACACCCCGCCAGGGACTAGGATCTTAAAATGTTTCAAGCATCTGCAGGCCAGTTTAAAAAGATGGTTCAGACATTGTGGGAAATGACCTCAGCGTGCTTTCTCCCTTCTCCAAAGCTACGTTATTGTTTAGGTTGGGCTGGGCGACATCCCCTCGGGAAGACAGGATTCCGCTCGGCCGCTCGTGCTGGGACGGGCTGATGGGGGCTGCACCGCGGCGGGCAAGCACGCACTCTGACGCGCCCGCGATCCCTCCGAACTCACAGGTGCGCGCCCCGGACCGCGCGCCTCCGAGCTCTGCGCGCGCGCCCACCGCGCAGCTCGGCTCACTTGACCCGCGGGCGCCAGACGCTGTGCTCGGGCGGGCGCAGCCGCGGCGGCGCGGGCCCGACTAGCTGACACTCCCCCTGCGCGCCCCTCCCCCGCCGCGGCCAAATCCCGCCCGCCCGCGCGCGAGCCCGAGGCCGCTTCCCCGGCACCCGCGGCCAGGAGTCCCGCTGCGGCGACTGCGCGGCCCTAGGCGCGCCGGGGTTGCCTTCGGGTCGGAGCGGAGACCGCAGTCGGAGCGGCGCGGTGGCCTCCTCCGCGAGTGACGCCTGCGACGCTTCTCAGCCAGGCTTCTCATCGACTCCCATCCGAGAGCCTCCTCCGCGAGCCCCGGCGACGGCCGCACCGGCAGCGCGGCGGGATGAGCGGCAGCGGCGCGGCGCCGGGCCCGGGCTCGGGGTCCTCCCCAGCCGCCTGTCGCTTCGCGCACTACTTCGTGCTGTGCGGGATCGATGCGGACAGCGGACTGGAGCCCGACGAGCTGGCGGGTAAGGCAGGGCTGGCTGCGGAGGCGCAAGGGAGGCGAGGTGCGGGCTCCAGACAAAAAGTCGGCTGCTGTAGCTGCACTCGGGCTAGACGGGCTCTCGTGGGCGATGTAATGACATTGTTGTTAATTCCGCGCTCTGGCTGAACCGGCGGGCGCTGGATCCGCGTAACCGGCGCGGGCCGCCAGAGGGCCGGACCCCTCCGCTGCTCGCGAGCGGTTCATGGCGCGCGCGACCGGGCTGTGCAATGGTTCGCGAAGTTTGGCCCTGGCGGCTGACGCGGCGTTTAGGCAGCTCCGTGAAGGTGTCGGGACCGCGGGGCTACGACGGGGTCCGCTCGGGCGAGAGGCCCAGCGGGAACGGCCCCGACAGCTCTGGGTCGGCGCCACCCCTCCCCCCTGGTTCTGTGATGACGGCCGAGTCACCCTTTGGAATCCTGTGGATTTGGCAGTGCCAGTGCCGCGAGCTGGCGAGGACCTTTGGACGCTTGGGATGCGGCCTGATGCTTTGTTGATCCCCCTGCCCCGTTCCTGAGTTGACGTAGTTGGACTGTCCTCCCCCAGAGGGGCGCACCGTGAGTCATCGCCGAGGTGTCACCGGAGGAGCATGGCCCCCATTTGACTGGTCTGGTGACGCAGTGCGGGACCGAGCTGGGGAAGCTACACTGGGAACCCGGGCAGTAGAATGATGATGGAGGCGGGGGAATGCGCAGTGTGGAGAGCAGGCCGGGAGAAATAACAGATTGCGTTTTTCACCCTCCTTTCCTCCATGGGATCTGAGTCGTGATTTTTTTTTTTTAAAGGTTGAGACACGTGACACCTACCACCTGAACTTTATCTGTGTCAGTGCTAAACACTTAGGTCATAGCCTTTCAGAACAGCTTCTTTGGAACATAGCATGCCTCATTGATTGCACCAGTATAGATTTTTCTTTCTTCCATTGAGAAGAGGATTGGGAAGATTGTATTAAATAATAAATGATAGTAAACAAAACTGCTCAGCCTTTAAAAATACAGTCCCACGTCTTAGCTGAGCATCTTTTTATTAAGTCAGCTTCACAGCAAAATGTTTTCAACAAAAGCTAAGTATAGCTTTAATTAATTATTTATTGGAAAGAAGAGTAATAGAGTACCAAGTTTTCCCCGTATGTGTAATTACGTAATACACTATTTCTTTAGCTGAGATTTCATGTACATGTTAAGAATGGCATTGTTAAGGGATATGAAGTTGGGGGTAAATGTCTGCAAAGTGATTTTGGAGAAAGATTTATCTTGGGCTGGTAAAAGAATTCTCTTTCTAAGGCGTCTTTAAACAACTGGGATTTCTTGGAGGCCTTCTATGCCAGGTGACTGATGAAAGAAAAAAGCCTGTATTTACATTTGTCTTTGTCTACTTACACCAAAACAACACCTTTTAAAAAGTGTGTCCTGGGACTCTCCAAGCGCAACGCAAAATAGCACAAAATATTTTATTTTAATGTAATTTTAATTTTCTCTCTTCATTACTTTTTCTTTTTGTAACAGCTGGATTTACGTAATAGCTCATGCTTGTAGTATTGGTGCTTAGGCTGAGCACTGTAGTACTTAGTACTGTAGTCTCAGTCTGAGGCAAGAGCATTGGTGTGAGTTTGAGGCCAACCCCGGGCTAGAGTGAGAGACCCTGTTTCAAAAACAACAAAGGGAAGGGGAGGTTGGAGGAACAACCTGAGAAAAAGCAGTACCTGAGGAAGAAATAGCTATAAACTTTCTAGAAATGACAACATACGACACACACACCAAGATTTTGTGTGTTTTTATTCCTTTGTGCGTATGCCCTGTGTTTTGTGTGTGGGGGGAGGACAGGGTCATGGTGCGTGTACCACAGCATGTGGAGGGCAGAGGGCAACTTTGTGCAGCCACTTCTGTCATTGCGCTCTTATGTGGGTTCCAGCAATTGAACTCTCAGGTCTCTAGACTGGTGCAGCAAGGACTCGGCTGTCTTGCAAACCCTTTCATGCATTTTTAAAAGATATATATTTATGTGCACACTTATGTGTACCTGTGCAAAAGTGCAAGTGCCAGCAGAGGCCAGAAGAGCATATTAGATCTCCTGGAGCTGTAGGTACAGGGGGTTGTGAGGCACCTGATGTTAGTTCTGGGAACTGAACTCATGTCCTTTGGAAGAGCAGGCAGCAAGTGCTCTTAATCCCTGAGCCCCCTTTGATGTGCAGTTTAAAAAAACTATATATACTTATTTACCTTAAATGTATGAGTGCATGCTTGTTTTCTGTGGCATGAGTGTGGAGATCAAAGGACACCTTTGAGAACCAGTTCTCTTCTTCTACTCTGTAGGACCCAGGGATTGAACTCAGGTCATCCAGTTTGGCAGCAGGTGCCTTTTCCTATTGAACCTCCCATTGGCCTCTTTTATAAGTTCTCTGGGACACATCGTGTTTTCTTTTTTGCAGTAACACATTAATTGACCTTTCTGCTCACAATATTTGGAGTGCTCAGGTAATAATGTATTTTTGCCTGGTTTTGATTATTCAGTCATTCAACAAATGGGTTTTTAAAAGCTCGGTGTAGATTGTCAAGAAGCACAGGGAACATCTGTGAAGAAAATAAAGACCCTTCCATATTGGAGCTTACATTATAGTGTGAACAAATAGTGAAGATCCTTTTATTGTTCTTACTTTTTAACCCCTTCAGTACTGGAGATTGAAAATAGGGACTCTTACGTGCTAGGTACTGAACTACATCCCCACCTCTTTAAAAATTGTTTTTAGTCAGGGCCTCAAACCTGTGTTGTATCCCAGAAAGGCCTTGAATTTAGGATCCTCCTGCCTCAGCCTCTTCAGTAGCTGAGATTGTAGCCTTTCTACAACAGATCTAGTTTTTATGTCCAAATTAGTAAAGAGATATGAGAAAAAAATGGAGCAGGAAAATGGGATCAGAATTTCTGTTATTTTATGTTGTTGGTGGGGTTCCCATCCTGGAAATGCATAGGCATGTGCTCTATCGCTGGAATACCTCAGCCTTTGATTTTAAATAAGATGGTTAGGGAAGGCCTCACCTAGAAAGAGAAGTTTGAACACAGCCTTGAAGGAGGTGGAAAAGCAAGCAATATGGACTGTCTAGGGCAGTGTTTCTCAACATGTGAGTGGCGGCCCCTGGGTGTCAAAGCACCCTTTCACAGGGGTCACCTAAAGACTGTCTGCGTAAAGATATTTACATTATAATTCATAACAGTAGCAAAATTAGTTACGAAGTAGCAGTGAAAATAATTGTATGGTTGACGGTCACCACAACATGAGGAACTGTATCAAGGGGTTGCAGCATTAGGAAGGTTGAGAACGACTGGTCTGGGGGAAGAGAATTATAGGCAGAACAAACATCGAGATACCCTGAAGTGGAACAGTGACCAGTTTATGTAGGTAACTATACCAGGCTTTTTCCTTAGAACCACCAGCCAGCTGCCAATCATGACACCGAGACTTCTTGGTTTTGAATGTTAGCTCAAGAATGACTAGCTTGGACTCATTCCTGGCTAGCTCTTTTAACTTAAATTGACCTGTTTCTCTTTATCTACCGTTTGCCTCAGGGCTTTTTGTCTTTCTGTATATGCCTTATTTTCCTGCTTCCTCCAGTTTCTGGCTGGCAGCTCCTTCTTTTTCTCCCTCGTTCTCTCCTTTCTTTTCTCTGTTTTTAGATTTCTTCTCTTACTTATTCTCTCTGTCTGCCAGCCCCGCCTAGCCCTCCCCTGCCTAGCTATTGCCTGTTCAGCTTTTTTTCTTTTTATTAGACTAGTCAGGTGCCTTAGGCAGGCAAGGTGAAACAGCAACACATCTTTTCATAATTAAATAAGTGCAGCAGAAACAAAGGTAACACATCTTTACACAGTTAAAGTAATAATCCACAGCATAAACAAATGTAACACACCTTTACATAGTTAAAGTAATATTCTACAACAGGTAGCAGCTAACTAGGAGACCAATGTGAATAGAATGGGCAAGATAAGAGAGACAGATTAAGAGAAATATTACAGGGCCTCAAAGATATTACCTTTTACTTTGAGTTGGGAAGATGCTGAAAGTTTTTTTTAACAGAATAGTTGTATCATCTGACATACCTTCTGAAAGGATCACTGTCTGCCAGTGAGTCAGCTCAGCCTGAAATGATGCTTGTTGAAAGGCTGACAATCTGAGTTCTATCCCCGAGACTCAGATAGTAGGAGAAAACAGACTCCCACAAGTTGTCCTCTGATTTCCACATGTGTATGCCTGCCCAAGAGCACATGCATATCACACACACACACACACACACACACACACACACACACACACAAATGTAGTAGAATTAAAATTGTTGTTTTAAATAAAATTATTATTTTATATGTGTCACTGTTTTACCTGCATGTATATTGGTGTACCACATGTGTCCTGGTACCCAAGGAGACCCAAGAGGGCATTGGATCCCCTGGAACTGAGCTTATAGATGGTTGTGAGCTGCCTTGTGGGTGCTGGGAATTGAACTTGCGACCTTTGGAAGAGAGCCACTGCTTTTAAACCACTAAGCCATTTTTTCCAGGCCCCATAAACAAAAATTTTTTAAAAAATAAAAAGATCGCTGTGGCTGCCAGACATACATAGACATGAGGGGGGCAGTGGAAGCAGGAAGCTAGTGGTTCTGTTTCATTATTTGACGGAGAGGTTTGGGGAATTGGTGGAAATGAGTCGTGTGTGTGTGTGTGTGTGTGTGTGTGTGTGTGTGTGTGTGTGTGTACCTGTGTGTACGTACACACAGCATGCATGTACCATCAGGAGTTATTAATGAATCAGATGATTATGTTTGGTTTCCTTTTTTTCTTTTGAGACAGTTTTGCTGTGTAGCCCTGGATGACCTTGACCTTGTGGCAATCTTCCTCTTCCTCTGGAGTTTAGGCGTGTGCCATAACCCTCACTGTGACTGAGTTCTATTAATTTAGTAGTCATAGATAAGGAATATGATTAGTTATGACTGAAAGATT